TGAGACGTTTCCTTCCTTGGGTCTCATTTCTTCATATTTAAATGACGAGTTCAGACCTAGTGTTCTTGCTTGCAGCACTGACCTTCTGTGATTTTTCATATTTAGCCAGTCCTTCCCTACTCTACCTCTACCTCTCTCTCTCTCTCTCTCCATTTCCCCATTTCTTCTCCCCTCATTGCCAGATCTGTTCCCTGAAAGATATGTAAACCCTGGGTGAGAATGGCAGAATTTCTAAGTGGCCAACAAGTTTTCTAAGCCACTCAAGCTGTGCTGAAGGAAGACTGCCAAGCAACTGTTGATTCATGAGAAATCCTGGAGATGATTGGTGGCTATGTAGGTGGCTTCTTGAAGTAACTGGTTATAGTCTTTCTCTTGCTAACCTGAGCCATTTTAGAGCTGGAGTTCTGGAACCAGCAAATTCCAGCCTTAAATCCTGCCACTGTCTCCTACCAGCAGTGATGTGTTATTAACAGCTCTGTGCCTTTGTTTCCAATATGTAAAATGGTAATAATACCCACCTTGGGGTTTGTTGGGGGAGATTAAATGGATTTGCATAGCCCTAACCTGTTTGGCTCAATGGATAGAGTGTCGGCCTGCGGACTCAAGGGTCCCAGGTTCGATTCCGGTCAAAGGGCATGTACCTTGTTTGCGGGCACATACCCAGTGGGGAGTGTGCAGGAGGCAGCTGATCGATGTTTCTCTCTCATCGATGTTTCTAACTCTCTATCCCTCTCCCTTCCTCTCTGTAAAAAAACCAATAAAATATATTTTTTAGAAAAAAAAATGGATTTGCATAGATGAAAGGGCATAATAAATGTTAGTTCTCTGTAACCTGTAGCCTGCCCATAACCAGACATTTTAATGAGGCTGGGAGAGGGAGGCATATTTTAGACAGGTGCTTGGAAGAAAGGCTTTGCTCAGCTATTGTCTATATTCTTTACCTAAAACAATGCTTCTGTCCAGAGTAGATGCTTACTATTTGTCAAATGTATTAAATAAAATAAATATTCAGTATATACTTAGGCAAGGATTCTACTAGTAGCAAAAAAGGCAAAAGGAAGCCTATCAGAACTCTGGTTAAGTAATTATTAGCCAGTTTACAAGAATTAAACTCTAATCCTGCCCTAGCCAGTAGTTAGAACATCGGCTCTCGACTGAAGGGTCTCAGGTTCGATTCCAGTCAAGGGCACGCCTGTACCTGGCTTGCAGGCTCGATCCCCCACGCCAGTCTGGGCATGTGTGGGAGGCAACCAATTGATATGTCTTTCTCACCTTGATGTTTCTCTCTCCCTGTCTCACTCTTTCTAAAAATATCAATGGTGTTCATATTTTCTGCCTATGTTTTAATTGGGTTTTCTTTTTATTGATATGTAAGAGGTCTTTATATATTATCAACACAAGTCCTCTTTCATAGAGGTGATTTCCAAATATTTTCTCCCAGCTTGTGGTTTGTCTTTTCAATTCTCTTAACAGTAGCTTTTGAAGAGCATAAGATTTCAATATTGATGAGGTCCAATTTTTCAGTTTGTTCTTTTATGGATTGTCGTTTAGTATCATATTTAAGAAATATTTGCCTTACCCACGTGTATAAAGGCTTTCTCCTATTTTTCCTTCCTGTTTTTATAACTTAAAATTTTACATTAAATCCATCATCTGGTTTGAATTAAATTTTGTATAGGATGTGAGGTGTGGACCTAAGTTCCTCCCTCCTTTCCTTTTTAAATGGGTCACCTATTGTAGCACCATTTTTTGAAAGCATGGTTCCTTTTCTACTGAGTTGCCTTTGCACCATTGCCTCAAATCAGTTGTCCATGTCTGTGGGGCCCAGCACTAGATTCTGTTTTGTTGCATTTATCTACTTGTCTATTTTGATGCCATTAACACACTGCCTTAATTGAAGCCAAGTAGTGTCAGTCATCATACTTTGTTTTTTGCCAAAATTGTTTAGGCCATTCTAGGTCCTTTGAATTTCCATGTGAATTTTAGAACCGATTTGTCAATTTCTACAAAACATATCCTAAGATTTTTATTGAGATTGTATTGAATCTGTAGATCAATTTTGGAATAACTGACATTGTAACTATATAGTCTTTTGACTCATGAACATTGTAAATGTATTCATTTATTTAGATCTTAACTTAGCAGTGTTTTATAATTTTTACTGTTTAGATCTCTTACACCTTTTCTCAGATTCATGTCTAAATATTTCATATTTTTGATGCTCTAATAAATAGTAAATTTCTAATTTTCAAAAAAATCAATGGAAAAAATATCCTCAGGCGAGAATTAACCAAAATATCCTCGGGCGAGAATTAATCAAAAACAAACCAACAAAACTCTAATCCTTCTAAGAACCATATGAGGTAAGTACTATCATCAGTCCCACTTTACAGAGAATGTATTTTTCCCAGGTCACACACTGTAAATGGTAGCATTGGGGTTTGAATGCAGGCAGTTTGCTCCCAGAATTCATGCGCTTGGTTATGCTATGACAAGTGAGGTCCCCACCCAGGAATTCCAGCAGCAGGCACAAGTCACTGCTTTTAAGGCACTTACCACCTAAATGCCATGGTTTGTTCACCTTTTTAAAGTTCCTTCTTAATTGCGAGCTCCCTAGGGCAGTGGTCGGCAAACCTCGGCTCTCGAGCCACATGTGGCTCTTTGGCCCCTTGAGTGTGGCTCTTCCACAAAATACCACGTGCGGGTGTGCACGTACAGTGCGATTGAAACTTCTGGACCATGCGCAGAAGTCGGTTTCCAGCCTGGGCGAGTCTATTTTGAGAAGTGGAGGGTGTTGGCCGGGCAACCGGCGCAGGCGGGGGTCGGGGATACACAGCGCGGGAGAGGTGTGCACAATTCATGCACGAGTTGAGTGAGCCAGTCAGTCAGCAGTCTCATGTGCAGTGGTTAGTGCTAGTCGCATCCGCAAATCGCGCGCGGGTGACAAAAGTACCTACTCGAAGCATAAAGTTACCTGTATTTTTCCAACCAGCTGCAAATCCTACAGGTATTTTTGTCATCAATTTAAGAATTGTAATTATTTTGTGTTGGTGGCTTTATTATTATAAAATGAAACATTTTTTTAGGTGCCCTGTTTGACATGGCTACAAAGAAGAAGCAAACTACCTATATAGTTTAAGTTGAAAAAATTTGGCTCTCAAAAGAAATTTCAATCGTTGTACTGTTGATATTTGGCTCTGTTGACTAATGAGTTTGCCGACCACTGCCCTAGGGTGAGAGAATGACTTGTCACCATTGCAACTCCAGCATCTAGCTCTGAGCCTAACATACAGTGGACACTTAATTGGTGGAGGGTAATCTAGAAAAAGTTACTTTCAAAGGCATGAATGTGTGAAATAGATGAGTTACCTGAAACACGAGCAGTTAGATTTTACTGGAGAATCAAGTTTGAGGAAGAAAACTAGTTTTATGTGGGTGGCGGAGTGAGTTTGCTTCCCTCCAGCCGTGTGGCCCTGCTGGCCAGAAGCCTGGGGAGGTTAACAGGGATCACAAAACGTCTGCTTTGCGTTTGAAGCTACAAATTTGGGATTTACAGCGTAGGCGATGAGAAATCTGTGAGGCTCACAGGAAAAGTAACGGACTAACTGATGATAAAGGTGCACTCAGAAAGAGGGTCTTCCCACCAAACTGCATGGTTTCGATGGAGACCTAACAATTCTGGAGTGGGTAGGCTAAGCGGCAAGTTTCAGGAACAACGATCGGCACCTTCTACAAGTTTGGTTAACGCTGGATTAGCCTCTTAAATCTCGGTTTCAAGAAACGGGGACGCCTTTCTTTCAGGTAGGATAGCTTTCTGTTCGCAACCGCCTCTCTTCCTCCTTTTCCCTCCTCTGCTTTGCCCATTGTTTCGACCCCATTCCTGCCTGATGCAGTCTGGGAAGTGTAGTCGCTCGCCCGGCTGCCTAAACCGGGAGGCCCTCTAAACTCGGTATCGCCACATAACTCAAGAGATTTTCGAGAGGTGGGGTAAAGCGCGGAAGATCCAGCCCGCTTATGCGAGGAGCAATCTGGGACTTGCCGTTTGCAGCAGCCAAAGCGCTTATGCGAACAGAGGTGTCCAGGACTCTAATCTCCCCCCGCCCGCTACCCCGGCCTCGCGCATCGTAATGACGTCAGAGGCCTGTGAGGCCCCTGGGATATGCGGTAGTTCTCGAGGAGTGTTCTCTGCCTCGGCAGCTGCGACTTGAGGACCACACTTCCCAGGAGTCTGAGCGGCGGCGCGCCGAGAGCCGCGCGGGCCCGTGATTGGCTGGTGAGCCGGCCGCACGCGGAGGAGCCCCAGGAGCAGCTCCGTTGCGACAGAGGCCGAGCGGCAAGGCCCAGTGAGTTGGGGGAAGAGACGCTGGGGGGAGGGCGCCGGCCAGTGAAGGGGAAGGAGGATGAGAAGAGGGAGGAGGGACGGGGTCGGGATGGATGGAGGAATCTTCGAGGGAGAAGAAAAGGCAAAGGGGGAGAAGCTGACGGGCGGGGGTTGGGGTCCGTTCGGGGGTGGCGTGTGAGGAGACCCTGAGGGGACTCACCCGGGTAGGGGGGACAGTGCGTCCCGGGGGGAAGCCGGCTGGGTGGTGTGGAAGGAAGGGGACAACGGAGAGGAGGCCCGAGGCGGACGGGAGGAGGCAGCCGGGCAAAGCGAGGCGGACGGCTGGAGCGCGGAGCGCCAAGTTGCGGGGAAACCGGAGACGGGACCTCTGCCCTCTCCGAGGGGCAGAACCCGGTGCCCACCGGGCGCCCTGGAAGGAGGAGCGTTTCCAGAGCGAGGCAGGCCGTGGGGATTGGCGGACACAGCCCGAGGGAAGAGATGCTCAGGTTAAAAGAGCGGCCGAGGATCAGCATCGGCTCGAGAAACTGACAAAGTTGGGAGCGACCGGGCAGGGGCGGAGCTGGGTCCCGAGGTTCGCTAGGAAAATTCCCGGCAGGGATGGAGCAGGGCCGGGGCATTCTCCCTAAGTGTAGACTGAGGGGTGCTTGCCTTCCGTCAGGCTCCCTGGAAGAACAGTACCGACCCCTGTGGTTCATCACCATGCCCTCCGACCTGGCCAAAAAGAAGGCGGCGAAAAAGAAGGAAGCAGCCAAAGCGCGGCAGGCCAGAAAGGGGGCATGAAGAAAACGAAAATGCTGCCACAAAACCACAGGGGGCAAAGGAGAGAAACGAGGGGGTCAATGGCCAGGAGACCACAGGTGCGTTGCGGGCAAGGTGGGCGCCAGGAATGGTTGCTAGGACCTGATGGATGCGGGCCCCAGCCAGAGGCTGGATCCGGATGCTGGGGCACTGAACACTGTATCAGGTGCCTCGAAACTTTGCATGAACCAAAACAGTAGCGTTGGAGCTTGTGGCATCCTGTTACTGTTCAGGGAAACACAGGCTTCTCACATACCCAGGGGCAGGCAGCTAGGAGAGCTGTGCTACTTTGTTGCTCTGTCTGCTAGACTGTGAGGAGGAGGTCAGCTCCCTGCCCCTTTCTCAGTTTCCATTTCTACACCTGGTGGTCAGTGTGCCAGGCTCTCTGCCAAATCACACCCTTGTCCTCTCTGGGGTAATGACTTCTGTTCATAAACTTATAAATTACTTTATGGGTTTTTCCTGGGAAAGAGATCATTTCTGTTATAGTTTGGAAAATATGTAGCACTTCTCCAGGGCTGGACACTGTTCTACATACTGAGCTATACACAAAGTCTGCCCTCGCAGAACAGACAGTCTAGGTGAGGAACATGGCAGTGTGCGATAAAGAATATTCCAGCCCTAGCCCGTTTGGCTTCAGTGGATAGAGCGTCACCTGCGACTGAAAGGTCCCAGGTGCAATTCCCGGTCAAGGGCACATGCCTGGGGTTTTAGGCTTGATCCCCAGTGGTGGGCATGCAGAAAGCAGCCAATCAGTGATTCTCTCTCATCATTGATGTTTCTATCTCTCTCTCCCTCTCCCTTCCTCTCTGAAATCAATAAAAATATATAAAAAGAAAAGAAAATAAAAATAATATTAAAAAAAAAGAAAAATAATATTCCAGTCTCTTGGCAGTCTATTTCCACCCCTCCCCCCTGCCCCCTGAAGGCTCTCTAAACAGGCCTTCTCAATACAGACTATTATTATTCCTTGAATAGTCACCATGTTTCTGTCCTTTTACACACTGAGTTCTAATACCACAATTTTTATGCTAGTTACATTTGACATTTTTTCTCAAAGCCTTTCCCAATCAAACCTGACCTTAATATTTCCATTTACTACACTCCTGTGCTATCTTATACCATTACCTTTTTATATTTTCTCTTCTGTTTTTTTTCACCTAAATTGTTTGATTTTTGCAGGGACCGTGTCTTGGATAATGCTATTTTGTATGACCAGCCTTGCAGATAGAGATGCTAAGTAAATGTTTGAAGAGGAGAGGAGAATTACTAATGCAAATTATGACAGTCAGATAGAAATTCAGAAAAGGAGGAGTTAAAAATGATTGAGAGGAGAGAGTCGAGTGGTAAGAATTGTCTCCAAAATAAGAATTATAGGAAAAAACTGGTGCATTGAAGTCAGGCCATGGGGAAGTTTTATTCTTGGCGGGAGGAGGGGAGGGATGAGAAGTTAAGAATGGTGGGAGTGAACAGGCTGAGTTGTGATCTCTAAAGTAGAGAGTTGGGGTCCCCTCTAGACGCTCAGGAACCATGGTAAGCTGTATCATTGGCTCTGTGGGGACTTTCTGGATGAATTGGAAAGGTAGAAAACTGAATCCCACTTTGAGACTATTGTCCACTGTCCTCATTACAAATTTCTTCACCCTTCCTCTTCTATGAAAATAGATTTTCCCAGGGAACCCAGATATAGCATCCCTATCTCAATAATACAGGATCTTTGGATTTTACCTTGCTTCCTCAGGGAGATACTATTATGAAATGTGACAAACCCTCTCAAAACATTTCTTATTGCCAGGAACCATGTCATTTCTGCTTTCATAATTAATGGGTCCTCTCTCCTCTCTGGGTTTGGGATTATTTGATACTGTGGGTCACCATTCTCCAACCTTTACCAATTGCCATTGCCATGTGGTCTTCCTGAGATAGCAAGGTGTGAAAAGATCAAGATAAATAGCAAAGAAAGTGACCTCTGACCAACAGTTCCACCTTCGTTACAACGTGAGACACTTTAAGATAAGCACTGGAGATTGAGTAGAAGGGACAGTACTCACTCTGGTGAAGTTTGTTCCAGAATCTTTTTTCCATTTCTTCAAAGCTATTCACTTGTCTTTTGAGCCTGTTTTCTGGGATATTGTAGGCTAGACAATGAGGTCTGTTTAAGTCTCTTTCTTTTGAAGCTTAGAAGATGACTTAGGTTGTAGATGCTATAAACTGGAAGAGATCAAAAGAAAATGGCCTATAGCCTTCCCTTAATTTTGATCTTCCCCTGCCTGAGCAGATGAAGAACTAGACTAGGGATTGTCAAACTTTTTCTGTAAAGATCCAAATAGTAATGTAATATTTTAAACAGTAAAGAATTAAAGGGAAAAAAAAGAATATTAAGATATTGGTGGGTTTCTCCTAATGTCACTGAACAAGAAAAAAAAAATCTAGATAGTAAATATTTGTGGCTTTGTGGGCTATACATATGGGCTATATCTTGCAGCTGTTCAATTCTCTCACTGTAGTAGAAAGCAGCCATAGACAATATGTAAATAATGAATGTGGCTGTGTTCCAATAAAACTTTTATTTATAAAAGTAGGCAGTTGGCCAGCCTTTTTTTTTTTTTTTTTTTAAGCCACCTTCTCTCCTAAGCTAAGAATGGTTTTTACATTTTTTTAGAGGGTTACATTTCAATGGTAATGTAGATACTAAATAATGATCTTGATTTTACCACTTGTCCTGTAAACTCTAAAATGTTTACCATCTGGCCCTTTAAGAAAAAGTTTATCAACTATTTATCTAGACATGAACTTCTTTCTCCCTACTCCATCATCATCTCAGCATCTAGAACAGAGATTGGCACAAAGCAAGGCTGTGGGAAGCTTGGTAACACAACCATATTGAAAAAAGACTTAAAATTCCTCCTTGCAGTCAAAACTAAAAACTTTGTCCTCCATTCAAAAAGTACTTATCAAGCACTTACATATATATCATAGTGTTCAGGAGCTGAGGTAGGTACAGAATGACTGCTGTCTGTCTTGTGGGGCATTCTCCGCCCTCAGTGCTGGTTCCTTGCAAATAGAGCAGGTTTAGCAGCAAGGTGGGTAATGGTGCCAGCACAGGTAATCTGACAGGATGGGGTATTTGGAGAGTGACCTCTAAGACTGACCACGTACCACCACACCTTCTGTCTTGGCGTTGCTCTCCCCAAGCTTACCTGTCCAAGGAGGGCACCGAGCTGTCTTCCCCCCTCTACTACATCTCTACTCATCCTGAGAAGAAGCGCATGACTTTTCTCATTTCATGGGTTCTACTCTAAAATCACTAAGGGAACACAGATAAGGGTAACAGACTAAAAAGTCAGAAAATTCTCGTACTGCAACCTCATGTGTAGTTTCTGATTCCTACTTGAAAAGGTAACTAGATCACCTTTTCTCTTTTGGCCTAAGCTTACTAAGACTCCCTCCACTCCCATTTCTGTCCACTTTCAACAACTCTTTGTGGGTACTTTCCTATATAAAAGGTAGTATAGTGAAGCAGGTGAGGTCATGGGCTTTGGGACCAGACAAGCACTAGTTCAAATTCTGACTCTGTCACTTACTAGCCTTTTTGGCCTTGACTATGTTATCTAACCTCTTCATTTATAAACTGGGGTTTATAAGTGTATATGTCATAAGGATTATTAGTATTAAATTAGATGGGAAATAAGGATTGTTAGTATTAAATAAGGTTTATTACTAATACTAATAAGGATTATCAGTATTAAATTAGATGATACAGCACAGTCCCAGACACAGAGTAAACTCAACTATTAGCCAGTTATATTAGCCATTAATAGTAATAGTTCTTGGGGGAGGGTGGGTAGGTGGGTGGAAAGAGATCAACCAAAGAACTTGTATGCATATATGCATACCCCATGGACACAGACAATAAAGTTGTGAAGGCCTGGGGTGGGTGTGGAGGCAGATTAGAAGAGATCAATAGGGGGAAAAAGAAGGCATATGTAATACTTTCAACAGTAAAGATTTTTAAAGTACGGAACAGTGTTCTGATAGAATGTGTATAGCATTACTTTACAAATCTAGGTAAATGAAAGACATTGTCATTAAAATGCAAAATAAATTTATTTTATTTACTATTGTAAAAAAAAAAAAAGTAATAGTTCTCAAGCTCAAGATGTAGTCATGCATGAAAAACCACAGAGACAGGACAGCTAGTCTCTTGTCTCAGGATCACTTTACCTCTGAAACCCTCCAGATTTGGGGACTTCTGGCTTGTCCAGCCTTGGCCTTGCCTGCGGTTTCCCTCTGTAAATTTCCTCACTGGTCCCTTCTGGGCAGCAAGCTTCCTGGAAGCATCTTCTAGAACAGGGGTGGGGAATGTCTGGCCCTTGGGCCCTATAAGGCCTGCGAAATCATTTGGTCTGGCCCTGCAAAGGCATTAGGGGTGAGTTAGTTAAAAGTTTGGCTAAATATAGTAGGCTAATTTTTTATTTTTCTTTCTTTTCTTGTTAATCCTCACCTGAGGACATTTTTTCATTGATTTTTAGAGAGAGTAGAAGGGAAGGAGAGAGACAGAGAGAGAGAAACATCAATGTGAGCGACACATTGGTTGCTTTCCACATACCTCACCCCCCAACCGGCCGGGGATTGAGCCTGTCACCGAGGTACATGCCCTTGACTGGAATCAAGCCTGAGACCCTTCAGTCTGCAGGCCAATGCTCTATCCACAAGCTAGGGCAGCAGGCTAATTTTTAAGTTGATAATTTTGTATGGCCTGAGAATGATGTTATAAATATCCAAATGGCCCTTGTTAGAAAAAAGGCTCCCCACCCCTGATCTAGGAGCTTCTTAGCTTGTGAAATAAGAGAGTTACACCTCTGTAGTATCTGCTTTCTGGGGAGCATTAGGACTAGTCACTTAATACATACAGAGGACAATTTGCAGTTACAGTCATTCCCATCATGTATTTATATAATCTAGAAATGGGAGGTTAAAAGGATAAGTTATAAACCCTGGCCAGGTGGCTCAGTTGATTTGATGCGTCATTCTGTGCACCAAAAGGTTTGATTCCCATTCAGGGCACATGCCTAGGTTGCAGGTTTGATCTCTGGGGAATGTACGGAAGGCAACACATTGTTATTTCTTTCTCAGTGGATGTTTCTTTCCCTTCATCTCTCTAATAACCAATAAAAACATACTCTTGGGTGAGGATTTAAAAAATGGTAAGTTATGAAGTAAAAAGTGTCCAAAAAAGCAGGGTATTAGGGCAGATCTATATACAATGTATCCCCTGTTTAAAGTTTGTAGACCTCTGAATCTGCTCAACTTGATCTGGAGTCCAGGTCCTTTAGAACACACATGCCTTTTTTCAGCATTCAGAGTTCTGTATGGTAATATTGAGTAACCTGAATAAAGGGAAAAGCCACAAATGTCCATACAGGGACTGGAAACCTGGACTCAGGTTAAAAGTCTGATGCTCTCCCAACGGAGCGATCTAGGCACTCTAGCACAGTGATGGTGAACCTTTTGAGCTCGGCGTGTCAGCATTTTGAAAAACCCTAACTTAACTCTGGTGCCGTGTCACATATAGAAATTTTTTGATACTTGCAACCATAGTAAAACAAAGACTTATATTTTTGATATTTATTTTATATATTTAAATGCCACTTAACAAAGAAAAATCAACCAAAAAAATGAGTTCGCGTGTCACCTCTGACACACGTGTCATAGGTTCGCCATCACTGCTCTAGCATATACCTTGTTTGAGAGCTGCATCTCTTCCCAAACTGCTTTTTTTCTCTGTCCCCAGAAGTGGATTTGCTGTCCAAGGAGCTGGAGGACTTTGAGATGAAGAAAGCTGCTGCTCGAGCTGTCACTGGTGTCCTTGCCTCTCACCCCAACAGTACTGACGTCCACATTATCAACCTCTCCCTCACTTTTCATGGTCAAGAGCTGCTCAGTGACACCAAACTGGAATTAAACTCAGGCCGTCGTTATGGTCTCATTGGCTTAAATGGAATTGGTGAGGCCCTTGGAAGGCGAGGTGGGAGGTATCTCTCCTTGGCTCATCTGTCTCTCAGCGAGTATTTACCTAGCACCAGCTATGTACAAAGCAAGGAGTTTACAGTATGGGTGGGAGAGCAGAAATGCCCAGGGAAAGGAGCTAGCAATACAGAGCAGTGTGTGGTAAGTACCACATGAGTAGTTACAATAGGTGCTGGAAAAGTGGGCGGGAGGGGTGGGTTGGCAGTGTGAGGCTGCTGTAGATGAACAGATTTCACAGAGGAGGGGTGAGGCAAGAATTGGAGGGAAGGTGTCCTAAGAATGGGGAGGGGGTAATAGGGTTTGAATGAATGAAAGGAAGGAAGGGTCTGGCCAGTGTGGCTCAGTGTTTGAGCTGGAGGTCACTGGTTTGATTCTAGTCAGGGCACATGCATGGGTTGCGGGCCTATACCCAGTAGGGGGTGTGCAGGAGGCAGCCGATCCATGTCTCTCTCTCTCTCTGTCTCTCTCTCATGTTTCTGTACCTCCCTCTTCCTCTCTCTCTGAAATCAATAAAGACATTTTATTATTATTACTTTTTTTAAATAACTCTTTATTTCAGAGAGGGAGAGAGAGAGAAAAACATCAATGATGTGAGAAAATCATTAATTGGCTGCCTCTTACATTCTCCGCACTGGGTATCAGGCCTGCAACCCTGGCATGTGCCCTGACATGGAATCGAACCGCTACCTTCCGGTTCATGAGTCAATGCTCAACCACTGAGCCACATTGGCTGGGAAGTAAAGACATATTTTTTAAAAAAGAAAGGAAGGAAGGAAGGAAAGTACTAAAAAAAAAAAAATGGTGCCCTAGCCGGCTTGGCTCAGTGGATAGAGCGTTGGCCTGCAGACTGAAGGGTCCTGGGTTTGATTCTGGTCAAGGGCATATGCCTGGGTTTCGGGCTCGATCCTCAGTAGGGGGCGTGTAGGAGGCAGCTGATCAATTATTCTCATCATTGATGTTTCTATCTCTCTCTCCCTCTCCCTTCCTCTCTGAAATCAATAAAAATGTATTTTTTAAAAAACGGTGAGGTTGTGGCTGGGCTGGAGTGGAGGAACTGGTTGGAGTAATGACACAAAACTGCTGAGTGTCCCCTTCCCATTCTTTGCCTGCCTCTCTCAGGCAAGTCCATGCTGCTCTCTGCCATTGGGAAACGTGAAGTGCCCATCCCTGAGCACATCGACATCTACCATCTGACTCGGGAGATGCCCCCTAGTGACAAGACACCCCTGCAGTGTGTGATGGAAGTCGATACAGAGCGGGCCATGCTGGAGAAGGAGGCTGAGCGGCTGGCTCACGAGGATGGTAGGGCTCCAGACCTGGGGGGTGGAGGTGCGAGGCTTCCTCCCGGGAAGGGCCCAGGGAGCCTGAAGGCTGTTCACTGCCCACAGCGGAGTGTGAGAAGCTCATGGAGCTCTACGAGCGTCTGGAGGAGCTGGATGCTGACAAGGCAGAGATGAGAGCCTCGCGGATCTTGCACGGACTGGGTTTCACACCTGCCATGCAGCGCAAGAAACTAAAAGACTTCAGTGGAGGCTGGAGGATGAGGGTTGCCCTCGCCAGGTGAGTTCCTCTCCTTCCCCCCCCCACCCCCCCCTGTAGCTCCCCTTCTCTCTTAGGGTTGAAAGCTCGCTCTAGTAGAAGTGTTTTGAACAGGGGTCAGTGGTCAGTAACTGCCAACCAGGACACTGACATCGACGATGTGAAGGGCTGATACGTGTGGGTTAAGGGGTGGGCTCCTGGCTGAGTGGTTGCTGTTGGGTTCTGGCATAGTGTTTAGGAATCTTCGGTAAAGGGTGGAATAGGTCTGCCTTTCTCCTCCTGACTCCCCTCTCACCCATTTTTGTGCTTCAGTCTTTCTCATTGTTTTCTCTATAAGGAGAGGATGTTAGAATGTTAGCTGTTAAGATATCTGTTTTCTCATCTGCTTGTGACTTGGACCTGAAATGAGTTTCTTTCTTTTTTTTTCTAATATATTTATTTATTCTCCCTTTACCCTTTTCTACCTCCCCCCACTCCCCTTTCCCTCTGGTAATCACCATATTTTGTGTCTATGAGGGTTTTTTTTTTTTTTCTTCACTTAATCCCTTTACCGAGTTTCATAACCATCATTCCTTTAGCAATCCCCCCAGAAAGTCCCGATTAAATAGGTGGTTCCCTAGCCACCATTGTCTGCCAGGTGCCTTGGTGAGCCCTGACACGCTGCCTCAGCAAGGCTGCCTGTGTGTACCTTCAAGCACGAGTGCAGGGATCCCACGTGTGAGAAGGATTAGCTGCCTCGGGTTTGCCTAGAGAGCTTTTAAAAATACAGATTTCCTAGCCTGTTCTTCAGAACACTAGAGCTTGATGTCCAGAAATATTATTTCTAAAAAGCTCTACAGATGTGGGAACCAGAGTTATCCCCTTGCTTCTCCTGTCTTTCGATTCCATCTAAGAAAAGAGCTTTCTCTGGACTCCTTGCTAGAGGCCAGCAACCCTGCCAGATAGCTCTAACCTGAATACTTTTCGCTGCAATGATTGATTTCTTCTGTCCTTTTTCCTTCCTGATGGTCACCATCATCAGTGTAAAAGACTGACAGACTCAAGGACTTTTACAGTCTCATCTCCAAAGCATATCATCCCTCTGCTTCTCAACCCTGTTTCTGCCCTTTAACCTCTGCTCTTCAACTCTGGTTTCTCTCCTAGTTCTCCCTTTCCTCTGAGGTATAGAACCTAGAATTGGTTTCAGGACTCAAGCCAGGCCTGACCCGAATTGCAGTAGCAGGCAAGGCAGTCCCTTTCTGTGTCGCACCCGTTAGACTGAGGTGGCTCTGTCCTTTCCTGTCCTTCAGAGCCCTCTTCATTCGGCCCTTCATGCTGCTCCTGGACGAGCCCACCAACCACCTGGACCTCGATGCTTGTGTGTGGTTGGAAGAGGAACTAAAGACGTAAGGGGACAGGGCTGGGGTTGGGAGTGGGCAGGTGCTGAGGAGGGATTGAGCAGAGTCCAGAGGAAATGGATACCCAGAAACCGCACTGATATTAGAGCAGTTAACAAATGAACTGGAGTGAGGCCACGAAGGCCACAGTGACAGTGGTTAGCACCTTTAGGGCTGGCCTTTGTGTTTGATTGTCTTTCTTTTGTCTGAAACGTGTGGGTGGTTTTTTGTTTTCATTAAAGCTGATTTCTTTTTTTCATTAATTTCAGTGAGGAAGGGAGAGGGAGAGAGAGGTAGAAACATCAATGATGAGAGAGAATCATTGATTGGCTGCCTCCTGCACACCCCTACTAGGGATTGAGCCTGTAACCCAGGCATGTGCCCTTGACTGGAATCGAACCTGGGACCTTTCAGTTCACAGTAAAGCTGATTTCTTTAACTATATTTCTAGCCATCACATATAGATATCATTTTAGTTTTTATTAGAGCCAATTTCTTTTAAAAAATATTTTTATTGATTTCAGAGAGGAAGGGAGAGGGAGAGAGAGATAGAAACATCAATGATGAGAGGGCCGGCTCCTGCATGCCCCGCACTGGGGATCAAGCCCGCAACCGGGAATCAAACCGTGACCTTCTGGTTTGAGTGTGACCTTCTGGTTTGAGCGTCACAGGTTGATGCTCAACCACTGAGCCACACCAGCTGTGCTTAAAGTCAATTTCTTAAACTGTATTTATAGACATTATCTAAGATCATGATGTAGTGACAAAGGAAAAATAGCAGATATGGCAATGGGCTGTCTGGTTAAAGAGCTGAATAACCTGGGGTATTGTGCCAGCTCTAGACGAAGGTTTTCAGTGGTCTCTGCAGTGACTTGGTACCTTCTTTCAAAAAGAAGAGTGTCATGGTTTTGACTGTGCTGATTCCAGTTCTTCTCACCCATAGTTCCAATACACTTATGGGTGGGTCTGTGCACATACACTTTTGTTTTTACCATCACTGGTACTACCATCTCTACTCCATTCTGTTGAAAATTAGAACCTGGAGGAAAATTAGAAGATGAGGGAATCTCAGACTGTCTCGCCACACTTTGGAAAGCATTAAAACGTCCTTATAGGTAAATGGTGCACTAGTGGCTTCAGTGCTTGCTGAGAGCTGGGAATTGGCCAATAAATCTAACAGGTGCTCAAGTGTAAGGATGAACAAGGATGAAGGTTTCTGGGCCTGACTCTCAGCTTACCTGTTGTGGACTATCTTCCAGTTGTGAGCACCTCCCTGACTGGTTCTTTGGCTTTGCAGTTTTAAGCGCATCCTGGTTCTCGTCTCCCATTCCCAGGACTTTCTGAATGGTGTCTGTACCAACATCATTCACATGCACAACAAGAAACTGAAGTATTATACGGTAAGTAGCCCCACCTTCTCCACAGAAACCTCTGTGCTTACCAATTCCCTGAAGTTCTCCTTTAAAAAACACACAAACAAACCAAAAAACAGACTTAGCAGCCTTTTCTATCTATTGCTACAAAAATATGTGGACAAGGAATCTTGCAGCCTGTTTTAGTCCCAAAGTATTTGCTTTCAGGCCATAAGCCTGGATTGTCAGCCAGTGCACACAGTGTATGTTTGCGTTGTGGCAAAGAGATTGACTTTTCACGGTACCTAGGCTGCCCTCTGTCTTCCTGAATGGCTGCTTAACTGCTTCATGACAGTCAGCACGTTTACCCTCTTTCCACACAAAGAATGGGCGTCAGGATCTCGACAGCCTACTTTTGTGCCTTTTCATTGTCTCTATTTCAAAAATCATATCAAATGAAAAACAGAAGTCCTCTTCATTCATAACTATACTTACCATGGGAGTACTTGCCATGGGAGTACTAATAGTTTCTTAAATAGCCTTCCAGAAATTTCCTGTGTACCTGCAAGCATTTGTGGAAAATTTCCTGTATACATATCACAGTTGTAATCTTAATAATCATTCTCTTCTGTAGGTTGCTGTTAAAGTTTACTGTATCTTGGACTGCTTTTCATATGAATGTATATATATAAATCAACCTCATTCATTTTGGTGGCTGCATGGTATTTCGTTGTGTGGCTATCCTATACCTTATTTGTCAGACCCTTTTTAATGGATATTTAGGTTGAGTCCAGTGTTTTGCAGATAGAAACCATGGCAGTCCAATTGTGCAGCGTTTGCCAGGTCCTAAATCTGATTGGTCTGTGTCTTCCTCCTGGGAGCATTTCTTGTCAACTGCAGGGGGCTTCAGCCTCTAGGGGTGGGGTGTATTAGGGAGAGCCTTGTGATGTCTGTACGACGGTGGTTTTCACAGCTGCTCCCAATGCTGTGGGTGTCTTTATGGCTAAAGTGAGGATTTGGTCTGGCGCCCTGCTCTGGCTGAGGCATACAATTTGAAAGGCCCCAGATTCCAGATCAGGATATGCTTTTTAAGTGCATTCCTCTTTCCCTACTGCACAGTCTTATAGCCAAGGCCTAGTCATATGCCATCTGCATCCCCTAAACCCTGGGTGAGAACCCAGGACCGAGGTTCACGCTGCCCCCTCACTGGCACGTTTCCCCACAGGGTAATTATGACCAGTATGTGAAGACACGGCTGGAGCTGGAGGAGAACCAGATGAAGAGGTTTCACTGGGAGCAAGATCAGATTGCGCACATGAAGGTAGGGCAGTTGTAGAGCTGAGTTCACCTTCTCCAGGGAGTGGGATGAGGGTTTCGGGAGAGTTTAGGGGTACTGGAGGAGGTCAGGAGGAGGCACATAAGTTTTTACTCTGCTTTTAAGACGAGTTGTTTGATGCCTGCCCATTCTCCAAGCCCCCTTTCTGATCTCTTTCAGAACTACATTGCTAGGTTTGGTCATGGCAGCGCTAAGCTGGCCCGGCAGGCCCAGAGCAAGGAGAAGACGCTACAGAAAATGATGGCATCAGGACTGACAGAGAGGGTCGTGAGCGACAAGGTTGGGTCCAATTGGGTGGAGTGAGGTGGCCTAAAGTGAGGTGATTAAGAAAGCACCTAACCTGATAAATGCCCTGTCCTCTTCCTAGACATTGTCATTTTATTTTCCACCATGTGGCAAGATCCCTCCACCCGTCATTATGGTGCAGAATGTGAGCTTCAAGTATACAAAAGATGGGGTGAGTCTCCTGTGTGGTTGGGGGGCTGGGGTGCATTTTACAAGGTGTCAACTGGCTGGGAGAGTCTTCTGTTCTGTGCTGAGTATACCTCTTAACCCCTGGGCTGTGGGGGATTTTCAGGTGTGGCAGCTGAGGTGCCTCATCCAGGGATTCAGTAGCCCCTCTTAAGTAGTTGGGAGGAAGAGTACTCAGCTGGGCCTATGGTAGGGACAGTGGCCTGGAGTCTGCCATGAGAGCTGCCTCCTTCCTCCACACTGCCACCTCCGCCAGGCACTCAGTAGGGTTGGTCTGCCAGTCAGACTGATCGGTACCGTGGCCTGGTATCCAGCTCTCACTCTCGCTCTCTCTCTCTCTCATCCACCTCAGCCTTGCATCTACAACAATCTAGAATTTGGTATCGACCTTGACACACGAGTGGCTCTGGTAGGACCCAATGGAGCAGGGAAGTCAACTCTTCTGAAGCTGCTAACTGGAGAGGTATGGTGCCAGATGGGGTGGGACTTCCCAGAGAGAGTACGAGACTGTGTAAGAGAGAGGACACATGCATGGGTCTCAGTATTTTTTGTATTTTCAATCAGAGCATTTAGAGCAGGGGTCCTCAAACTTTTTAAACAGGGGGCCAGTTCACTGTCCCTCAGACCGTTGGAGGGCCGGACTATAGTTTTAAAAAAACTATGAACAAATTCCTATGCACACTGCACATATCTTATTTTGAAGTAAAAAAACAAAACGGGAACAAATACAATATTTGTATTTGCATGTGGCCCGCGGGCCGTAGTTTGAGGACCCCTGATTTAGAGTATAGGAACGTCTGTGCATTTACAGATATGCTTTCATTTTAGAAAATATGTGTGGTGCCTATGTTTGAGTCCTTTGTTATACAGTATGTTGCATGCTGTAGTAGACATTTAGTCACCACTGAGGAGATGTGCTGAACATCTACTTCAGTATATCTTCCTAAATATTTTTTTTAATATATTTTATTGATTTTTTACAGAGAGGAAGGGAGAGAGATAGAGAGTTAGAAACATCGATGAGAGAGAAACATCGATCAGCTGCCTCCTGCACATCTCCTACTGGGGATGTGCCTGCAACCCAGGTACATGCCCTTGACCGGAATCGAACCCGGGACCTTTCAGTCCGCAGGCCGACGCTCTATCCACTGAGCCAAACCGGTTTCGGCTCTTCCTAAATATTTTTTAGGGACCAGAGTAGCAGTCTGTAAGGAGGTGATGTAGGTTCAGTATAGGAAGTTGTATGAGTTTTGTTCAGTTCCATTTACTACTTTTTCTAGCTATTACCCACAGATGGGATGATCCGAAAACACTCTCATGTCAAGATAGGGCGATACCATCAGGTATGACAGGCCTGGGGTTGAGGTGCGGGAACTCCTTGGTGTGTGGTAATTGGGCTGCATGTGACCCAGTCGACTCCTACCTGCTTCTCTTTGAACAGGTGGTGCCTGGGTAGAGGGAGTAAGTTACTTGGCAAGTAACCCAGCAGGGTTCTTGGATGTCAGTCAAACCTGGATGGGTTCCTTTTTTTCCTGTAGCATTTACAAGAGCAGCTGGACTTGGACCTCTCCCCTTTGGAGTACATGATGAAGTGCTATCCAGAGATCAAGGAGAAGGAAGAAATGAGGAAGATCATTGGGCGATATGGTCTCACTGGGAAACAGCAGGTTAGTGGAGAGGGGTGTGGGGAAGAAGCCCAGAGAACTGGGAGACTGGCTGGATGGTCAGGGCACACTGTCCTGGCCACCATTCCCTTTCCTTTGCCCCAGGTTGTTATGTAGTAGAGCAGCAGTTTTCAACCTCTTTCATCTGATGTCACACACAAACTATTAAAATTCTGTGGCATACCAAAAAATATATTTTTTGCCAATATGACCCCAAAAAGGTATAATTTTGATACATGCACACTGGACGGCTATTGTGTTGGCTGTTATCATTTAAAAAAAAATTTTTTTTTTTTTTAAATTTTAGAGAGGAAGGGAGAGAGGGAGAGATAGAAACATCAGTGATGGGAGAATCATTGGTCAGCTGCCTCCTGCACAACCCTTACTGGGGATTGAGCCCACAACCTGGGCATGTGTCCTGACCAGAATTGAACCGTGGCCTCCTGGTTCATGGGTCAATGCCCCAAAACAGAGCCACATGGCCAGGCTGTTGTCATTTTTTTATTTGACAATCTAAGGGAAAAGAGGCCTTTGACTAGTCGGGTATTTCATATTTTAAAAATTTCTGTGGCACACGGTTGAAAATTGCTATAGTAGAGCATTTAGGTCTCTCTATGGGGAAGGGGCAAGCACATCATGCAGTCTCTGAGCCATTGTGTTTGAGGGCAAGGGAAATTAAACCTAGAAAACAAGTTCCTGAATTCAGGTCTGGACTGAAGGTCCACTGGATTGCTCTGAATCCTAAGGTTTATTTATTTCTTTTTAGAGAGGAAGTGGGGGAGAGTGACAGACAGAAACATTGATATGAGAGAGAATCATCAATTGGCTGCCTCCCACATGCACCCCTACTGGGGATCAAACCTGCCACCTGGGTATGTGCCTTGACCAGGAATCGAACCTGCTACCTTTTGGTGTATGGGATGATACCCAGCCAGGCCAGGGCTGAATCATTAAGATTTAAGTGCTGAGAGTCATGGCCTTGGTAACTGCAGGAGCTTCTGGCTTCCAGATGCATTCCTTAAGGCCTAAGAGACTGATGACTGTGTCACCACCTTGCTGCCTGAACTTGGATGTTCCTGACACCAGCTTTTGTTGAGTGAGGGGGAAGAGGTGAACTGTGCTGTTTGGTGGGGGTAACACTAACTTATATAAATATCACGGTCCTACTCAGGTGAGCCCGATCCGGAACCTGTCTGATGGGCAGAAGTGCCGGGTGTGTCTGGCCTGGCTGGCCTGGCAGAACCCCCACATGCTCTTCTTGGACGAGCCCACCAATCACCTGGATATTGAGACCATTGATGCCCTGGCTGATGCCATCAATGAGTTTGAGGGTGGTATGATGCTGGTCAGCCATGATTTCAGACTTATTCAGCAGGTGAGGCTCCTGGCTCGGGTGGGAGGCCTAGTAGGGGCATATAGGAGAAGGTTGGATGGAGCACAGTCATGACACATAGGGGGCACTTAACACATTTTTTTCTTAATCCTCACCCGAGGATATTTTTCCATTGATTTTTAGAGAGAGGGAAAGACAGAGAAATATCGATGTGAGAGAAACACATCAATTGGTTGCCTCCTGCACAAGTCCTGACTAGGGCTTGGGTTAGGGAGGAGCCTGCAACCTAGGTACGTGCCCTTGACCAGAATTGAACCTGAGACCCTTTGGTCCGAAGGCCAATGCTCTATCCACTGAGCCAAACCAGCTAGGGCAACACATTTTTATTCAATTTGGGAAAGGGGCTCAGGGCATAGATGGGGTGGTTTGGATCAGATCTATGCCTCTTTGGGAAACTTAGAAAGCCTTAATGGACATACTTCATTTCTTCAGTAGCTATTTGGGGATGTTAGCCTATTTAATATTGTTGGCCAAAATCAGGGTGGGAGTTGGGTAGAGAACAGAGTGCTTTTGCTACTGTCCCAAGGTTCTTCAGCCTAATGGCATACTAAGGAGGATTTTGATTAGACAGAGGGCTACCACCAGTCTTTGGTGAAAAAGCTGCTGGTCATTTCTCTGAAGCTTTGGGGAAGATGGGATGGAGCTGAGAGTGAAGCCTGTGAACAGATCTGGGCTCTGCTAGGGAACTGGTAATCAGGAGGACAGCAGGTCCTGGCTGGGAGTCTCCAGACCTGCTCGTTATATTTCCTCTGTGTTAAGCCATCCCAAAGAATGTGGAGATAGTGAAACCAACCACGAGCTGGATATGAGGCTGGTGAAGGGGCTTGGAAAGGCTGTGGAGTCTTCTTCCTGGAATTCCCCAAAAACGGCCTTCTGGGAGGGAGAGAGAGTGCCGGCCAGGATCATTAAGTCTATGATTTGCTTTCTAGGTAGCACAAGAAATCTGGGTCTGTGAGAAGCAGACAATCACCAAATGGCCTGGAGACATCCTGGCGTACAAGGAGCACCTCAAGTCCAAGCTGGTGGGCGAAGAGCCCCAGCTTAGCAGGAGGACCCACAATGTGTGAGCCCTACCCTGGCCAGGTGGGCCAGGCCCCTGGGGCCGCACTCCTGCATTGCTGCAATACCACTCCCCAGCTCCTCCCCTGCCCCCACCTGCCTTAGCTACACTCTGTGATCCTATCTACAGCTGGACAGTACCTGTCCGTTTTCTGTCCTTCCCGTTATTTTTGTCCATGTCTGGACTCAGCCGGCTGTTCCTGCCAGCCCCTTGCTGGTTCCTGACCCTGAGTGATGCAGCCAGAGGCACCTGAGGGTTAGCCCAAGGGCCCACACCCTGGTTGGCTTGTGAAGGAGCTTAGGATCCTGGTTTTCTGAGTTTTGATGAAGTTGGAGGAATACAACTCAGCCCACCGCCCCCATTCCTTTCTGCTTCTGGTTTGGAGCTCTGGATCAGGGCCTTATTCCTGATCGGTTTTTAAATAATTATTTAAAAGTGTAACTTTTAGACCTGCGTGACATCTACAAAGCGTCCAATAAAGAAAGAACAAGCCGTGGTCCCTGCTTTCTTTCTCGGGTCTCTGGGCCCTTTGCTCCCCTCCTCACTGCACTGCCAATGTCCATTTCCCTTCAGCAAGAGCTGGGGTGGGTGTCGGGATGGATGTGGTCTGAAGACTAGTCTATAGAATCCTGAAGAACTCAGTCCCTTTTGCTGATTTGAAATTGTGCCTTTTCTTACACTAGTGGTTCACAAACTTGAAGGCTCACAAACCTTAACGAGTCAGAATCACTTGGAGGACATGTCAGGTCACAGGTCACGGTCTTTCCTGAGTTTCCAGCTCAGTAGACCAAGAAGTAACATTTCTAACAGGTTCCCAGGTGCTGCTGGTGCTCCTGGCCTCGGGACCACGTTGAGAAGTAGCCTCCTGGAACATGTTTCTCAGAGTTGTCTGAGGCTCCTGCCACGTGGGACCTGTATCACACACTTAGGACACTTGTTAAAAATGCAGCTGCCCAGGCTCCAGATCTGTTGATTCTATCTGGTGGGATGGGAGAGGTGCAAAAATGGTCAAGAGTCTGCATTTTCACACCCAAATTTGTGAACCACTGTTGCTGGTCATACAGGGAGCTTTATTATTTTACCTGTATTTTTGCCTGAATTTTCATTAGCACTATCTAGATGACAGTCAACCCAAGGATTGGCATAGCCTGTCTGAACTTGGAATAGCATTCACCTTTGTGCCACCATGGATTCCTCACTCCACCTCTGAAGCCGCAGCAGCCATGTCTGTGGGAGAACACAGCCATGATTTTTCAGTGCTCGTTATAGTGCATCTCCAACTAGAAAAAGTCTGGGATGTCGTCTAAACCCCCACAGAGCTCAGGATATAATGAGAGAGGCAACAAGACTAGAGAGCAAGATGGCATAAATCAGATGCTAATTTGTGATTTAGGTAGAAGGATACAAAAGGGAGGGAAGTTTTCCAGAAAGGTGGGACTTGGTGCTCTAACTTGAAAGACGAGAAGGATCTCAGATGGCCATGAAGCCCTGGGCAGAGGTACAGTAAGTGAGCATCAGGTGAGAAGCTGTAGCTCAAGGTGCCGAGGCCAGAGGAAGGGCTAGGACTCCTACTCCACCCAGGGCCTGGCTTTGCTGCTTTGTGCCCTAAGTGGGGTCCAAAGCAAAGTGGCCTGTCATTGGTCTAGAGTATCCAGACTGGATTCCGGGGGGTATCAAGAGTGAGCTGCGGGGATGGATGATAAGCTGTGGAGCTGGGAGCTTTTGCTGCTTCAGCCAAGGAGGGCTGCTTTATATTACAGCCCTGAAAGTCGCTGGGTCCCTGTGCATTGTACCTGAGGTGTGAAGGGATGCTGGCTTCAGAGCTGGAGGAAAGTTGGCTTGACTATGCAAAAGAAAAGCCAATCTCAAAACTTATGAATGCTTAAAAAGCTCAACAAATAGGTATTTCTGCAAATGCCTAAAATTAGCAGTGCCTTATTGTGGGTTAAGCATTGGCCTCCTGACGGTGCCCTCGTTGGTCCTGGATCTGTCTCTGGCTTCAAAGTTTGGATAGAACAGATCCAGGGACGCCCCTTCTTCCAGCCTCAATTACCCGATGTCTTTTCCAGTCACCACCTCTGGAACCACCTCAGCCATCATCAGCCTTCGAAACCAGCCAACACCGTTTTTTGTTGTTGTTGTTTTTGGTGTGGTTTTTAAAAAAATTATTATTATTACCTTAACTTCTTATTGCCAAACAACCATGAGCTCCCTAAGTCATGAGTGTTCTTCCACTGAGGTGGAGGCTGCCGTCAACCGCCTGGTCAACCTGCATCTGCGGGCCTCCTACACCTACCTCTCTCTGAGCTTCTATTTGGACCGCCACAATGTGCTCTGGAGGGCATGGGCCACTTCTCACACAAGCTGGCAGAGAAGAAGCACAAGGGAGCTGAGCATCTCTTAAAGATGCAAAACTAGCGCAGTGGCAGATTCCCTTCTAGGACATGCTGAAGACTTCCCAAGGTGAGTGGGGCAAAACTCAGGACACCATGGAGGCCGCCATGGCCTTGAAGAGGAACCTGAACCAGGCCTTGTGGGTCTGCAGGCTCTGGGTTCTACCTGCGCAGACCCTCATCTCTGACTTCCTGGAAAACCACTTCCTGGATGAGGAAATGAAATCATAAAGAAGATGGGCGACCACCTGACTGACCTCCACAGGCTGGCCAGCCCCGAGCTGGGTGAGTATCTCTTCGAAAGCTCCCCTCAAGCAGACTAGGACCTTTGGAGCCCAGAGGCCTTTGAGGGGCCCCTCTGCATCCCCCTCATGTCTGGTTTTGCCTGAGCCATTCTTTTAACGACTCTGGAGCCCTCTGGAAACAATAAAGCTTGCAGAAAAAAAAAAAAAAAAGAATTGGCCTCCTAGTCCTCTCAAACCTTAGCATGTAAGAGGTAGCCAGATGCTGGGAACTGAGTGAGGGGTGAGTCTAGTGCAGGGATGCTTGCTCAGGTTTGTTTTCAAACCCTTCAGTGGGGGGAGTCTCGACTTCACCCTCACCGCAACCCTGAGGAGGACAGGATCTAATGGGACACCAGGGCAGGGGTGGGCAAACTTTTTGACTCGAGAGCCACAACGGGTTCTTAAACTGGACCGGAGGGCCGGAACAAAAGCATGGATGGAGTGTTTGTGTGAACTAATATAAATTCAAAGTAAACATCATTACATAAAAAGGTACGGTCTTTTTTTTTTTTTTTAGTTTTATTCATTTCAAACGGGCCGGATCCGGCCCGCGGGCCGTAGTTTGCCCACGGCTGCACCAGGGGTTTAGGCTAAACCAGCCTCGTATGGGCTCAGATTTCCTGTTGTCAATGGTAACCAGAGGTGTCTAGTTCTGTCTCCACCACTGGCTTGATGTATGTCACTGGGGAGTTACTTACCTCCCACTTTACAGAGAAACACTTAATGTCTGCCTACTCACATTTTAGGATTTATCAGGTCCCCACCGTTTGTTTTACTAGAGATCACCTAGTTCAAAATCTTGTGTGATAGCCCAGCTGTCCCATGCATCAGGACGATGCTCAGCCAACTGGTTCGATTCCCGGTCAGGACATATGCCCAGGTTGCGGGCTCAATCCCCAGTGTAGGGCATGCAAGAGGCAGCCGATCAATGATTCTCTCTCATCATTGATGTTTCTATCTCTCTCTCTCTCTCCCTTTCTCTCTGAAATCAATAAAAAATATATTTAAAAAATAAAAATATCCTGTGTGATAGAAAAGGAAACTGAGGCTGAGGAAAGTGCCTTATTTGAGGTGACAGAGTGAGTCACAGTCCAGCCACAGAACCGGGTGTCCTGACTCCTCTCATCTGGTACTGAGATTGGGTCACAGAGGTGTGCTCTCTGGCTGGTAATTTGGTAACAACAATCTACCAAATTAAGTGCACACACCCTGTGACTTGGCAGTGTCGTCTCTAGGAATAACCTTCTTTATGCTTGCGCAGTGTCCAAAGTTGCATATTTACTATAACACTAATGGCAAGAAAACAAAACCCCCAAAATGTCCATTAAAAGAGGAATGGAGATATGAGCTATGACTCCTCTACACTATGAAACACTATGCAAAAAAACCCAAAACACTATGCAAATACATTCAATGGAAAAAGCAAAGTGCTGTGTAACTGATTCCATTTGTCAAAGATAGATGCTGAGGGGGCAGGGATGGGCTAGAAGAGGTTAATGGGGGAAAAAGGGACATATGTAGTACTTTCAACAATATAGATTTTTTAAAAAGCTAGATGCTGACATGTGCTTATACAGAACCTGATAGTGTTACCTCTTTCGGTTGGGACAAACCATTTCTTTTTAACTTGGAAATAATAGTATAAAAATGAATCCCTATTTCCATGTCGCTTGGCTTCTGGGAAGAGGCTGGTGAGGTGGCCTTACAGTCCTGCGTCCCCAACCTGGGGCTGGGGCATCAGGGAGAGCTTCCTGGTTAAAGCAGTCCTGCTGTTTATCCAGGTGCACCCTGACATCGGCATCTCTTCCAAAGCTATGAGCATCATGAACTCACTTGTGAATGACATGTTTGAGCGGCTGGCCTGCGAGGCCACCCGACTGGCTCAGTACTCAGGCCGAACCACACTGACGTCCCGGGAAGTTCAGACAGCAGTGTGCCTGCTGCTGCCTGGAGAGCTGGCCAAGCACGCTGTGTCCGAGGGCACCAAGGCTGTCACCAAGTATACCAGCTCCAAGTGACCCGGGGCCTAAGCTAAATAAAGGGTGAACTGCTCTCATGCACTGTGGTGATTTCAAAAATGGACATGTGAAGGTGAGGTGTGATTTGAGACAAGGGTATTATCACTTTTCCCCCTCTTTTTTTTTTTTTTTTAAAAATATGTTTTTATTGATTTTAGAGAGAGGGAGAGGAGAGGGGGAGAGAGAGAAATATTGATCGGCTGCCTCTTGCATGAGCCCACAACCTGGTCATGTGCCCTAACCAGGAATTGAACCAACCACCTCTCAATGCATAGGACAACGCTCAACTAACTGAATCACCCAGCCAGGGCAGGTATTGTCACTTTTGATGGCCACTGAGGTGGAATTGCAACACTTACTTATACCTTTTTTTTAATTGCTTTCTGGGTGTACCCCATGAGCACGTGTGAAAAATATTCTCATCTGCAGTGAGCTGATGTAGGACTTGGGGCTGGATTCAGAATCCTCCAGCTGCTACCAGCTGTATTCATCATGCTCTCTCTGGGCCTGAAATTCCTCCTGTGTCACTCCTTTGTTTTTTAATTTCAAGAAAAATGATTTTAAATATAATAATGTTACATGCAATAAACCTTAATATTTCAAGAAAAACTATTTATTTTTATTAAATCCTTATTGTTCAGATTATTACAGTTGTTCCTCTTTTTTCCCCCCATAGCTCCCCTCCACCCAGTTCCCACCCCACCCTCTGCCCTTACCCCCCACCGCATCCTCATCCATAGGTGTACGATTTTTGTCCAGTCTCTTCCCGCACCCCCCACACACCTTTCCCCCCTGAGAATTGTCAGTCCACTCCCTTTCTATGCCCCTGATTCTATTATATTAACAAGTTTATTCTGTTCATCAGATTATTTATTCACTTGATTTTTAGATTCACTTGTTGATAGATGTGTATTTGTTGTTCCTAATTTGTATCTTTACCTTTTTCTTCTTCTTCCTCTTCTTAAAGAATACCTTTCAGCATTTCATATAATACTGGTTTGGTGGTGATGAACTCCTTTAGCTTTTTCTTATCTGTGAAGCTCTTTATCTAACCTTCAATTCTGAATGATAGCTTTGCTGGGTAAAGTAATCTTGGTTGTAGGTTCTTGGTATTCATCACTTTGAATATTTCTTGCCACTCCCTTCTGGCCTGCATAGTTTCTGTTGAGAAATCATGGGTACTCCCTTGTAGGTAACTGACTGTCTTTCTCTTGCTGCTTTTAAGATTCTCTCTTTGTCTTTTGCTCTTGGCATTTTAATTATGATGTGTCTTGGTGTGGTCCTCTTTGGATTCCTTTTGTTTGGGGTTCTCTGTGCTTCCTGGACTTGTAAGTCTATTTCTTTCACCAGGTAGGGAAAGTTTTCTGTCATTATTTCTTCAAATAGGTTTTCAATATCTTGCTCTCTCTCTTATTCTGGCACCCCCATAATTCGGATGTTGGTTCGCTTGAAGTTGTCCCAGAGGCTCCTTACACTATCTTCATATTTTTGGATTCTTTTTTCTTTTTTCTTTTCCGGTTGGGTGTTTTTCACTTCTTCGCATTTCAAATCTTTGACTTGATTCTTGCGATCCTCTAGTCTGCTGTTGGATCTCTGTATAATGTTCTTTATTTCAGTCAGTGTATGCTTAATTTCTAGTTGGTCCTTTTCCATATCCTCGAGGGTCTCACTAAATTTATCGGCGGTTTCTAGAAAATTCTTGAAAAACCTTATAACCGTGGTTTTGAACTCTATATCCAGTAGTTTGCTTTCCTCCATTTCTGTCATTTGTGACCTGTTTCTTTGTCTCCACATTTTGGCTGCTTCCCTGTGTTAATAGAGTGGCTTTCTGTGCTAGGTGTCCTATAGGGCCCAGTGGCTCAGCCTCCCCAATTACCTGAGGTGGACCAATTATTCTTGATGCACCCCTTTGTGGGCTATGTGTACAGTCTTGTAGTTAAGCCTTGATTGTAGTTGGTATCACTGGGAGGAATTGACCTCCAGGCCAATTGGCTGTGAGAATCAGCTGTGTCTATTGTGGGAGAACTTCTGTGCTGGAGACACCCTTCTGGGGCAAGACTTGCTTCAGTGGGGCTTTGGTGCTCACTGAGTCTGCCCCCTGAGTGTGTCCCTTATGGATCTGAGGATTTGTAATCTGGATGGTCCCACTCTGACCACTGGGTACACTGGCACTTGGATCTCTAAGGAGGTGCTAATTTAGCCTCTGCCTGAGGCTACCCAGCAGGAGCTACGGAGAGATCTTCAGATTCCTCTTCTTTGGGATTTGGAGGTGCCCAAATGAGGCCCAGCTGAAGCAATGCAAGCTGCTGTGGGGCCTTGGGCCTTCTTTTGAATGTTCTGGGTCTCTCTGATCCAGCTGCAGCTTGTTAGGTAATTTTAGATTGCAAAGGGCCAGGCCATTCATATGCAAAAGCCTCTGCGCACTGCTTTGGTGGGGTGGGGTCTCAGGGAATCAACAGGGCAGAGCAAACAGCTATGGCTGATCCTCAGCCCTGCCCTAGGAGGCCCTGGGTCTCAGTGTCCTGGTAATCACCGCAAACACCTCTGAGAGAAAACCGCCCTCGAGTTCTGCCCACTGCCAGATAGTCCAGTTTCTCCCCATATGAGTCTGGGTCCCCAGAGACTCCCCCAAACTGGAGTTCAGAGCCATCGGGAGCTTGTGTCTCCCTCCTGATTGAAAAAGACAACCACGTCCTCAGTTGCCAGCCCTTTCCGCATGCACCTCAGTACCTCTGCACTTTACTTCCGCACCTCCTCTGAATCTCAGTGTGCTTTTCTCTTTCCTTCTAGTTGTAGAATTTCCACTCAGCTAGCCTTCCTGTGGCTCTGGATGTTTTGTCTTTTAGTTGTATTTTTGAAGTGGTTGTGCAAGGCAGCAATTTCAGGTGTTTACCTATGCCACCATCTTGAAAAACTATTTTAAATATGATAATGTTACATATTAACACAATTATTCAAGAAAAATGATCTTACATATAATATTACATGCAATAAACACTAATATTTCAAGAATAAAAGGATTTTAAGTATAATAATATTACCAAAACTGTACTAACATAGTCTGATATCATAAAAGTTGTAGGAAATATTTAAAAATCTGCAAATAATAGGATTACTTCTATTATATTCTAGAATATTTTCCCCTCTGGCTCTATTTTTGTTCATCAGTTTATGTTGTTCATTATATTCCACAAATGAGTGAGATTATATGATATTTATCTTTCTCTGACTGGCTTCTTTCACTTAGCATGATGCTTTTAAAGTCTATTTTGTCAGATATGAGTATTGCTACTCCAGCTTTTTTTTTCTTTTCCATTTGCCTGGAAAAATTTTTTCCATCCCTTCACTTTCATCCTGTGTGTGTCTTTTGTTTTGAGGTGGGTCTCTTATAGACAGCATGTAGTTGGGTCATGTTTTTGTATCCATTCAGCTACCCTACACCTTTTGATTGGAGCATTTAATCCATTTACATTTAGGGTTATTATTGAGAGGTACCTATTTATAGCCATTTTAATTCTGTATGGCTAGATTTCTCTCTCTGTTTCTTCTTCTCAGCAATCCCTTACAGCAGTCCCTTTAGCATTTCTTGTAATGCTGGCTTGGTGGTGATGAACTCCTTTAGCCTTTTTTTTTTTTCTTTTTTCTTTTTTTTGTCTGGGAAGCTCTTTATTTGACCTTCTATTTTGAATGATAGCCTGGCTGGATATAGTAATCTTGGTTTCAGATCCTTGCTTTCCATTACCTTGAGTACTTCATGCCATTCCCTTCTGGCCTGTAGAGTTTCTGATTAGAAATCAGGCATCAGCCTTATGGGAACTCCTTTGTAGGTAACAGTTTTCTTTTCTCTTGCTGCCTTTAAGATTCTCTCTTTGTCTTTAATTGTTGGCATTTTAATTATGATGTGTCTGGATGTAGGTCTGTTTGGGTTCTTGATTGGGGTTTTCTGTGCCTCCTGAACTTGTGTGACTTTTTCCTTTACCAGGTTAGTGAAGTTTTCTACCATTATTTCTTCAAACACCTTCTCTATGCCTTTCTCCCTTTCTGCCTCTTCTGGCACACCTATCATTCTAATATTGTTATGTTTCACATTGTCCCACAGGTCCCTTAAGCTGTCATCCTGTTTTTCAATTGTTTTTTTTCTTTTTGGTTCTCTAATTGAGTGATATTTTCAACTCTGTCTTCTAATTCACTGATTCGATCCTCAGCTTCCCCTAATCTGCTGTGTATTCCTTCCAATGTGTTCTTTATTTGTGTTATGTCATTCTTTATCTCAGACTACTCTTTTTTCATAGTTACTATACCTTTTTTCATACTGTTAAGCACTTTTAACATCATTACTCTGAACTCTGTTTTAGATAAATTTCTTATCTCTGCTTCATTTATTTCTTCTGGAGAATTTGCTAGTTCTTTCATTTGGGGGTTGTTTCTTTGGTTCCTCATTTTGGTTGTCTGTTTGGGTTTGTGACTATGTATTAGGTAGGTCCTCTACACCTCTGAATCTCTACTGCAGGACAGTGTTAAAGGCTGTTTCTGACTAATTGGATTAGGCAAAGACACAAAGCCTCCAGAGACCGCCTCTGTCTACAGACTAATAACTTAAATTGCCCGCAGGCAATCGTCCTCATGTGTGGTGAGAGTTTTTTCAACAGAGTGGGGCAGTTACTTCTGTCTGGAGGCTAATTGCTACTTTTAATCTCTTAAGTGGCCTCAGGGCAAGGTGTTTTCCACTAGGGTGTGTCAACTGTCTTCCCCCACCTCAGGCAAGGCAAATGTCTGTGTGGGAAAGATGTCCTCTGCTGTGTGAGGGAATGACTCAGCACAGGAAACTTGGGGTGTCTGCCTTCTGAGCTCTATCGCCTGAGTCCCCAGTCCTGGGGTCTGCTCTCACAGCTCCAGTCCACTTTGCTTTCCCTCTGCCTGAGCACAAGGTGGGTGGCTCCACAGGGAATTTTTGTGTGATGGACCTTTAAGAGGGTGCTCAAACTTTCAGCTGCCACTCCCTGGCAGACAGCACCCCACTGCTTTTCCCAGCTAGATGTTATGTGGGTACTCTCTTCAGCTTGGTGCTATCTAATGGGGAGCCCAGCTTCAGGATTAGATCCCAGAGTTCTCAGTGGCACCCTTCCCTCCTCCCCCCCGCCCCCAGCTGAGATATCTCTCTGGGACTTCAGTTGCCATCTGTAGGTGCCTGGCCAGCCCTTTCATGCCTCCACCCCTCCTACCAGTCTCTATGCCAGTGGTTCTCAACCTGTGGGTCGCGACCCCTTTGGGGGTTGAACGACCCTTTCACAGGGGCCGCCTAAGACCATCGGAAAACACATATATAATTACATATTGTTTTTGTGATTGATCACTATGCTTTAATTATGTTCAATTTGTAACAATGAAATTGGGGGTCACCACAACATGAGGAACTGTATTAAAGGGTCGTGGCATTAGGAAGATTGAGAACCACTGCTCTATGCGTTCTCCACCTTCAGTCCTTGGTTATCAGGGTTTTCTCCTGTGAGTTTTCCGTTGATTATTCAGGAAGCCTTTCCGTATTTCAGTTGTAATTCCAGCTTTTTCCTGGGAGCATGTCCATGCAGCATCCTCCTACTCTGCTGCCATTTTTAATCTCCCCTGTGTTACTCCTTCAGACTATGTTTTATGATGCTATTTCCAGCAAACTGCCATTTTTGTCCCATGCTGGGCACAGGGGTCTACATAGATGTATTCTTTTTAATATATATATATATTTTATTGATTTCAGAGAGGAAGAGAGGAGAGAGATAGAAACATCAATGATGAGAGAGAATCATTGATCAGTTGCCTCCTGCATGCTCCTTACTGGGGATGGAACCCACAACCCGGGCATGTGCCCTGACTGGGAATCAAACTGTGACATTCAACCACTGAGCAACACCGGCCAGGCTAGATGTATTCTTTAAGATACAAAACGGAAGACCTGAACCAGCTTGCAAACAGCCTGCTGGGATCTATAAGATGTTTTCATTCTCCCCTAACATTTTCTTCCCCTTCATTTCAGAAGATACTGGTGGGAAGGTTTTTGAGACTACTAACTTTTCTTCCCCAATTTTATTTCAAAAAATCTCAAACCCAGACACACACAAAAAGTTGCAAGAGAATACAATGGCCATTTGTATGTCCCTCACTCAAGTTCACCACTTAACATCTGACCCCATGTATCTTTTCTCTCTTATTCAGCCTTTGCTCCAGCTTGTGGGCATGTGACCCATAAATGCTGTCCCAAGCTCAGAGAGGTGGAGTGGAGGGAGTCGGTGACCAAGTCCAAAATCCGCTATGTTCGCTTTGTGACCGGCTCAGCTCATCGCCTTCCACTCCATGTGCTGAGAAGGCTCTCTGTGACAGTGGCTGCCTTCACACACATTTTCTCATATGAAGAGACTCACATGGAGGTGCCCTGAGGTGAGAACTAATTACCCACGCTTGGGTTTCACAGCTAGAAGCTGGCAGGCACAGATCTGGCCCCTGAGCCTCGGCGTTTCCCGGCTCCTACCTTGCTACTCCAGGTGCCATTCAGAGGCTGGCCGTGTCTGTGTGGCTGGGAGCTTGTCAGGGATACAGACTCTCAGGCCTACCTCAAACTGTGGAATTGGAACCTGCATTTTGACAAGATCCTCAAGTCCTAATGCCTGAGAACTCATCTCTGGCTCCTCCCTTCTCCCCCTTCCTTTGCCCTGAGCCTTATGTATGTATTTAATTTTAAGTCCCTACTTGATATGGAGCCTAAAAGACAACCACCAGCTGACCAGAGTCAGGAGGTAGTGCTTTGTCTTTTCTAAAGAATGGTCTCCTGAGCCCCCGGACAGTCGCACAGCAGAGTGAACAGCTGGGTCTGCATTAAGGGGTACAGGGCTCCTCCAGCTGGAGTAATGCCTCCAGGACTAATATTCACCAGAGTCTTGAAGTTACAGGGTGATTTCAAACAGGGACCACTCTTTTACTTGATCCTCACAAGAGAAGTAGCCACAGCAGAGCCCACACTCTGCCCTAGCTTTCCAAGGCTTGCTGCAAAGGAGCCTGCCTCCCCTCAGAGTGCTGCCTCCAGAATGTCCTCTGTGATGTGTCCCCAATTGTGCACCCACAGCCCCTCCCCTCCCAACATTAGAACATGGAGACAATGGGACAGAACCCTTAAAACTGGGCTGCTCTGGGGGTGCAGTCAGAGTGGAACCACAGGGCTTCTGTGGATTCCACGACCAGCTCACCAAGGGTAGCGTGAGGAGTGAGCACCATGTCGGAGGGGTAAGTTGGGGCTGGAGTGGAGCCCCCAGGGCTGGGAGAGCAAAGAGCAAGCTGCCTCCTGCTCAAGGTCCCATCAGGCTGGGGCTGCTGGACAGGGAGAAGGACTGGTGGGTGGGTGGGTCATGCTGGGCCAGGGCCCCTGATTCTCACTCAGCAGCCCCAGTTGCTCCAGTCTGTGGTCAGCTTTTGCTCTTCAGATGTCTCTTAGACTATTAAATTCAGAGCCAGGGCTCTTCTCTGGGGAAGGGACCATCCTCTACACTCATCCCTCACCCACTTCCCACCCACCATCCTAGACCACTGCAGCATCCCTGGGCTGCACCCTCACCATGGACGGACCAACTGCTGCCAACTCCAAAGGGCCTCTTCCTTATAGGGAGCCCCTAAGAGCCATGGCCATTCTTCATTCCTCTAGTGACCCCAATCTCACACCCCCAGTGTGCTCACTGTGGCTGCCATCTCCTGCCCCTGAGGACCCCTCACTTCACTGAGCTCCACTGTGAGTAACCCTAACATCACACCTTCTGAAACCTGAGTTCACACTCCTCGAAAGGCTCAGCAGCACCCCTGCAACCCCCGTCCCCAAGCCTCTGATGCTCAGAACACTCCAGTGCACACTGCCTCCTCTCCAGATCTTACCAACGCCTCTGGGACTCTTCCCACGTGACCTTGCAAGAGCTACTGGACCAAGAGCAGCCCATGCTCCAACCCGTGCCCACCCGGGAGTGGCAGTCCTTCCAGTACAGGCTCTCATCGCTCTACCTGTACTACCTGGGGCTGCTGCGCGGGTTCGACACTCTCTATGACCAGATGGTGCAGCCGCAGAAGCGGCGGCTGCTGCGGCGCCTGCTGGACAGCGTGGCGGGCCGCGTGCTGGAGCTCAAGGATGAGATGGTGCGGGTAGACATGTGCGAGTGGCACTGCCTGGACCACGTGCTGCGGGACCTCGGGCTCACCCCGGTGCGAGGACAGCGTGGTGGAGGGTGGGGGTGGGGTGGGGCTGGTCTTGACCTCCTTCAGACACCTCTGGGGCCTCTGCAAGGAAGGGAGGGAGGTCAAGCAGGTGGATCAAGGATGGGGGAGAAGGCCTTCAGAAACTGGGGTGGGGGTGGAGGTGCATGCAAGTGGCTAGTGGGGTGTAGCTAGAGAGTCAGGCTGGAGGTCTCACGTGGATGGGAAGATTCATGACCCGGGAGGGATCAGTGAAGAGTCCCCTAGGTGCTTGCTCCTCAAAGTGTAGTCCATGGACCAGCAGCGTCAGCACCACTAGCAGCTCGTTAGAAATGCAGACTCTGGAAGCCTCACCCCAAGCCTACTCATCTGTACTTGCATTTTAACAAGACCCTCAGGTGATCTGGATGTACCAGCAGGTTCCAGAGCATGAAGCTCCAAGGCCATGGTTCACTGCTCCCATCTAGGGCAGTCTCGGTTTCCTGACCTGCTGCATCAGACTCAGCTGTTGGCTTTTAAAAAAACAGATTCTCCAGGCCGTGCAATTCTGAGTGGTGGTCCAGGGAGGGCCTGGGAGTCTGCATTTTAAAGGCTTCCCAGTTGATTCCGGTTCACAGTCAGGTTTGGAACCACTGCCCATTAGCTCCAGAATTCAACTCTGGCCACAGGGTCCAGGCAGGGGAGAAAGTGATGACTGTGAGTGGATTTGCCAGTTGCCCATAAATTTCCAACTCCAGGGATCTAGCATGGAGGAAAACAGGATCTCTGTGAGTAGCTGGAAATAGTAATGGACTGGCCAAACGGCCTACCTTCTGATTCCTGACCTTCTGTCCCCCCTATTGCCCCAAAGGCTGACCTGGAGGTTCCAATCCCCAAATACTTCCGGCAGGAGCAGTCCAGCATTCTGCAGGAGCGAGAGCTGATGCTGGCAGAAATCCTATCCAGAATGGAGCCAGTGTCCTTCCAGGAGGCAAGTCCAGGGGACTCTCTCCCCGACTCCTCCCATAGCCCTGCTCCGGGAATAGACATGCCCCCCTTCAGGACTCAGGGAGGCCCTGCCCTGCCCTGCTCCCACCTGAGAGTGCTCTTCGGATAATCCCTAGTGTCCTTCAAGGCTGCTCCTGTGTCCTTGTAACCTTCCAACACCAACAGAGAGGAGCAGGACTTGGGCACCTAGATGTCCTGGGAGGCCCATGCCCCCAGCATGTCCTTCAGTGTCTAATTTCCCGACTGCCCACCTGGATACGAGCCCTCCCTCATCTTCTGCTCCTTTGCTCTAATCTGGCCAGGTTGAACCAGTAATGAGCCGAACTGAGGCCATAATCCTGCTGCAAACGGCCGAGCGGGCCAGACAAGGCAGACTCCGAGCCACCTTCATTCGAGAGATCCGAAGAGAGGAGGAGCGGGATCGGAAGATGAGGGAGAGCGGGTGGCACAGGTTAAATCCGAACCAAGCAGCTATCACCATTCAGAAGGTAACCCCCCAGTGTCCAGGAAGAAAGGCAAGGTAGTCACCTCTTCCAGGAAGCCTCCCTAGCTTAGCAATTGATGACAGAGGTGCAGGTGCTTGGGTTCTGTGGCCACATAACTAGACTCTAAACTAGGGACCTTGATAATCAATAATCATGCATCTTATTTGTTTATTGATTCTACATCTTATCCCCAAAAAGAACTTGAAGTAGGATACCATAAAAGTCCTAGAAACAGATGGTTCATTAAAATTAGGGGAGAATGATCCATAATAAGGTAGCAGGACAGAGTAGGTAATCATTTTAGAAATTCTTAAGACTGTTAGAAATGTCACTAAAATATACCCTGACCCTCCTGGCAGCTGAGGCAAAGGAAATATAATGAAGAGAACTGGTGTGATCCAGGCGTCCTCAAGGTCTGTGCCGTCTGGAGTCACCCTCGGTTTTAACATGGAAATAACACAATCACACCCCATCCTTCTCACTGTTCTGGTGGCCATTCTACCCTCCCAGCTCCTGCTGTGCCCTCAGTGTGTGGGCCTGGCCTCTATCATTGGCCACCACGAGGCTGGGCGATAGTGGTTAACAGCTTGATGATACTGGAGGGGCCCTGGGAAAATTTCAGTGCAGAAAAGGGCCATTTTGCTCCTGCAGCTGTCACCCCTCCTGGGGCCCTGCTGGTCACAGGAAGTCACTTGCCACCTTTTCTTTCCAAAGCGGGCCCAGAATGGCTGGCATGGGCTAGGTTTTCCTCTCCTTCTCCCTCAAGTCCCAATGCCTCCAAACCTCCTGTCTGCCGGCCCAAGAGAGGAAACTTAGAGGCACTTCCTACCAAAACCCAAAAGTAAACCAACCTACTGACAAACATCACCCCTGAGGACAGAGAGCCTCTCCAAGTGGGCAGATTTTGATTATTTTTAAAAAAATCAAATTTGTATTCATTTCAGAGAAGGGAGAGGAAGAGAGAGATAGAAACATCAATGATGAAAGAGAATCATTTATCGGCTGCCTCCTGCACGTCCCATACTGGGGATTGAGCCTGCAGCCTGGGCATGTGCCCTGACTGGGAATAGAACTGTGACCTCCTGGTTCATAGGTTGATATTCAACCACTGACCCTCCCCCCCACCCCCCCGGCCGGGATAGATTTTGATTATTGATCAGTAGGCAGTGTTCCAATCAGAGCCCCTGCATTTGGTGACCGACCCAATGTCCAGCTACCCCATAGAGGAGGAGGTCCTCACCTTCAGGGTCAATAAAGCAGCATTTTGAGAGGGGGGTTGACCCCAAAGACAGAGCCCCACTTCCCCCCAAGAACCAAAGCAAGTCACTTTGTCCCTGTTGCCAGACATCAAGGGTGTGGGAATTCTACATCCCAGTCTTCAAGTTCTCGAGTACAAATACTAATCAGAAGCCATTATCGTGGGCTTTTCCACTGCTAGTCCCAGGAGCCCAGACAGGCGCCCGCCCTGCCTCCCTCTGCCCAGTGCACCTCCTTCTACCCTCTGGCACTGGGTTGTCCGCAGGTCTGAGAGGGGCTGGTGGCCTGGGAGAAGAACATTGGGCGAGGAGTCAGGAAACCTGGCCCCAGTCTCAGCTCTGCAGTGACAGGCTCCCGGCCTGGGAGAGATCTTGTACTGTCTCCAGCCTCAGTTTCCTTATGTCAAAAATGCAGGAATTGTTTAGGGGAGCTCCATAGTCCCTACGGAAATGATGTTTGTGTGCCTGGGTGAAGTAATCTAGTATTTATTCCAAATGCTATGGGAATTCTGAGACATGAGTGTTGTAAGCGCTTTTTGAAGATGGCAGTACTTGAACTCTGATCTGTGCCTCAGAAGTTATAGCAGATGAGGAGGGACTGCCGGGGAGGCCCTGAGGGAGCAATGCCTAGGTGCTGGACAGCTTGGGGGCATCCCTGCCCCACCCTGTTTCACACTGTCCCTGCTCAGGTGGCAATTGTCCATGAGCTGCACCTCCCCAGGTGCCTCCCCAGCTCCTCCCCCACCTCCCACCCACACCTTTGCCAGCCAGACCTCCAGAGCGGCTGCTAAGCCCAAGAGCCACATCCTAGAAGAAATGCAGTGTGCGGAGTGTCTGGGCCTGTGTTCCCCCAGGTGTGGAAAGGTTACCTACAGAGGAAACACACTCAGTATGACCGGCAAACAGAGATGGAATTCATCGGCATGGTGAGTCCTCTGGGCACAGGCAGGGGCACAGGGCTGCCAGTGTATGGGACGTCCTTCTGTGTCCCAGCCCCAGAGCACAGCCCTGTACAGCCATCACTGCCCACACCACCCACCACTCAGGACTGTGGTAGGCACGATGGAGGGGAGCAGGCCAATGCCAGGGGGCCCGAGGGTCCTTCAGGACTTGGCTGAGAAAGGACAGGAAAGCCACAGCCAACACATCCCTTCCCACCCTCCCTGAACTAGAGCCCTTAGAAGAATCTCAAATATGGGTGTGGGATGAGGGATAGCAGCACCAAGTATCCTGGACCCCATGTCTGTGCCCCTGGCTGGAAGAGGGGCTGCATGTGTGGGCCCAGCAGAAGGAGGTCACAGGGGCCCAGTTGGGATGGGGCACAGCCCCTCACACAGTGTTTTGGGGGGCTATGGGCTCCCCACTTGCTCTGGGCCCCAGAATTGCTTCTCCTCTGCATGCAGGGAGCAGGGCTAAGTGTGAACAACATGAGGCAAGCGTGAGAGTGCACATGGGGGAGTGTGGGTGGTAAGTGGGGCCCCACTCCCTGAATCGGTCTGTCCTCTGCTCTCTGATGCTTCCTTCATCTAGCTGGTCTCCGCTGACTTAGGGTGACAGGGGCAAGAGACATGATCCCTGGGAGGGGCTTTGCAGTGGGCAGAGCCCATGGAGGCCTGGCTGATATGGGGGCGGGGCAGAGAGATTAGAGACAGAGCTGGGGTGGCTACTTTAAGAGGCTTGGGGACTTCAGGAGAGAGGGGTCAGGGTCTGCTTCATGGGAGTGGAGGTCAGAGACTTGATGATCTGGACCCCCAGGAGGCCCGAGGTCAGGCTTTGGTGGAGAAGGGCAGGGGGTTTGGGCACAGCAGGGGGTGAGGAATGAGCCTGCTGCCCGGCCCATCAGCAGTGTGAGCTCAGCGTTTTCAGTAATTGTCTCTGCGCACAGTGATATTTAAAATACATTTGGGAGCCAATGAGGCGGGAAAGTGGCTGCGAGTGAGGCTGCCAAGGCGGGCGCTGGGCGGGGGTGCAGGCAGGGGGGGTGAGGCGGGGGCTGGGGCTGAGGCTCACAGGGGAGGGTGTGCTGGGGGATCGGGCAGGGGGGCCTGCCCGGATGCATCTAGCAAACTCATTATCAGAGTAATTTACACAGAGGAGTTTCAGCACCAAACAATTTCTCCTGATGCAGGCATGCCCGGTGTTCCGTGTGGGTGTGCATGCGAGGCACGTGTAGGGAATGCGTGGGGGCAGGTGTGCGAGCCTAAGGCCGGGTCCGCCCCACTCCCACTCCTGAGTCCCTTGGCTCCCTCCTCATGTCCCCAGATCCCCTTGCCTGGCCTAGTGGAGCACGCGTCCGTAGCCAACCTCAGGCAGGATGTCAGGAGATTCCGCCAGATAGAGAAAGAGGAGGAGTTCCAGCTGGCCATCTCGAAGACCCACGATGCTCTCAGAGAGACCGAGGGGCCCGATATCAAGGAGAAAATGAAGGAGCAAATCCGACAGTGGTTTATCGAGTGCCAGTCAGTGTCCCCAGCCTCAGCTGACTCAACCCTCAACCCCTTTCCCTCCTCACACCTGTCTTGTCTTCTGGTCTAGCCTGGGCCCTCTTCTCCGTTCACCCTGTCCCACCAGCACTCTGCTAATGCACTGGCTTAAACCTGGGACCATCTCCACTACAGGACCCTCTCCACCATGACTTGCTATTTCCCCGAATAGAAGAGAAAATGCCAGAATAAGATGGGGGAAAGCATCCAGGAATGTCCCCTGAGTGATCTGTCCTTTCTATTCTGTAACTATTCCTTCCCTCTCTCCCTCATCCTCTCTGGCCCTTTATCTTCCCCCATCCTTCTCTCTATGCATCTATTCATCCATACACCCACCCTTCAACCCACCCTTCCACCTGCCCATCCATTCGTCCATATGTCCACCCACCTGTCCATCTCTCTGACCATCTTATGTTCACTTAGTGCCCTTACTGGCCGATTCCCTAATTATCCAGACGAGTCTTTAGGTGGATCCAACCAGATCTTCTCAGACAAGACTCCAGAACAGGTACCCTGGAGGTGGGGCAGATTTCTGTGGCCGATGGAGTCTGAGGTTACAGAGTACTGAGTGTAAACTGAGGGTGGCAGTGGGGTGCCGGGCGAGGTCAGTCTCAATGGAGGCAGAGGTGGCTGGAGGGAATATATGTAGTTAGGAAGACTGCTTGGGGGGGTGGGGTACCTGCATCTGAGAAGGCATCCTTGTCCAGGGAGAGGAAATGTCTGGTGAGACTATTATAGCTCTAGTAACCCACAGGCCAGGAGAGAGCAGCCGCTCTGGTCAGAACACCTCATCACCTGATGCCCCTCTTCCTGGACCCCAGATAAGTCTCAGGACCCCACCAGTTCCCCTAGGACTTGGGGCCCTGAGCCTACCCCAGCCACAGGTCTGGGTTCTCTTGCTCCTATAAAATGCCCTTGGTCTTCTCTGAAGCATCGTTTATCCTTGGTCACAGGTGAAAATGGAACTGGAGAATCCGGTCCAGGAGAGCACTAAAAAAGAAGACAAAAATAAAGAAAAAGAAAAGGAGAAGAAGAAAGCGAAGGAAGACAAGACCAAGAAGAGTGTAAGGCAGCTCCTGAACGTGTGAAATAATAGGGCAGGGGGAGCAAAGTCTGAGGGGATTTCTGGTAGGAAAGCTGGTCTGGTGAGCATTATTAGGATCAGAGTTTGTGAAGGGTGAAGGCGAGGGGGTCAAGGTCACATGGTGTTTCTATTCTAGGAAGCAGATACGATGCTGAAAGCATTGCCATCCAAATTTATACCCCTGATCAATGCCGGACACGAGGAGTATAAAAGTAAGGGGAGAGAAGGCTGGAAGCTGTCCAGGACGTGTGGGACCTTAGAGTGACCCTTGGTCCTGGGGAAAGTGGACATGTGCCACGTGGGTCATGAGGTGGCAGAATGGGTGTGGAGGCCAAGGGGCTAATACCAAAGGGAGCGGGTGTGAGGTCATTATGGGCTTGGGTCTGAATCCTGCAGTCATAGGCCTTGGGATCAGGCCTCTGTCTATGACAGTGATGGCGAACCTATGACACGCATGTCAGAGGTGACACGCGAACTCATTTTTTTGGTTGATTTTTCTTTGTTAAATGGCATTTAAATATATAAAATAAATATCAAAAATATAAATCTTTGTTTTACTATGGTTGCAAATATCTTTTTTTTTTAATATATTTTATTGATTTTTTACAGAGAGGAAGGGAGAGAGATAGAGAGTTAGAAACATCGATGAGAGAGAAACATCGATCAGCTGCCTCCTGCACATCTCCTACTGGGGATGTGCCCGCAACCCAGGTACATGCCCTTGACCGGAATCGAACCTGGGACCTTTCGGTCCGCAGGCCGACGCTCTATCCACTGAGCCAAACCGGTTTCGGCTATGGTTGCAAATATCAAAAAATTTCTATATGTGACACAGCACCAGAGTTAAATTAGGGTTTTTCAAAATGCTGACACGCCGAGCTCAAAAGGTTCGCCATCACTGGTCTATGATGTGGTAGAAGCAGTGCCAGGTAGCTGGGTGAGGACAGGGGGCCAGCCTGGGTCAGGTTCTTGGCTCAAGTGTGCATGTGTGTGAGAGACAGAGAGACAGAGTGAAAGAGAAGTAGACCAGCCTGGAACAGG